CCGCTGGGCCGCCGCCGTCGCGTCACAACAGGCTGGGCGGAGGGGCGCGGGGCCTGGCGTCTCTCGCGCCTTGCCTCGTGAAGCCCGCACATCCAGAAGCCTGTTCATGAGCGCCCGCTTTCTCCGCGCTGCAATCCCAACACCTCCTGCCATGCGCCGGTCACCAACCCGTTCCTTGCCCCCAAAAATAACACCCTGGCCCCCCAGGAGCCCCTGTGGTCCCGCCTGCCGTTGGTGCGCGCGCCGCTGCTGCTGGTGGCAGGCCAGCTCGACCCCAAGTTCGTCGGCATCCACCGCCGCATGCTGGCGCAGCTCGCGCCGCCGTCGCCCCGCGGCGCCACCGGCGACAGCGTAGCCGAGCAGCGGCAGCAGCAGCAGCAGGAGGTAGGAGAGGAGGCTGACGTGGTGACGGCGGCGGCTGCGGCTGGGCCGACCCACACGCTGGTCGAGCTGCCCAACGTTGGCCACGCGGTGCACGTAGAGGCGCCGCTGCAGCTGCTGGCGGTGCTGCAGGACTTCCTGGCGTCGCTGGAGGCGGAGTGACGCGACGCGCCCCGCAACGCTGCCTGCATTGCATCACGGTTTTTGCACTTTGGCCCTGCCCTGGGAACAGATCTGTTGATCCTGTGTAATTTCCTGGGGACAGGCTGAAAAACGCGTGGTTGCCATGGCGCACAGGGGTGGGCTGGGGTGTGCCAGAGGGATTGCGTGTGCACGTTAGCATAAGTGCACGCGCAGGTATATGTATGTGGGCGCGCGCGCGCGCGTGTGTGTGAGTGTGTGTGTGTGAGTGTGTGTGTGTGTGTGTGTGTGTGCGCGCGCGCACATGTGTGTGTGTGTGTGTGTGTGTGTGTGTGTGTGTGTGTGTGTGTGTGTGTGCGCGCATGTAAGTGCACTCGTGTGTGCGCACCTGAGGCTGTGCTTCACTGGTGTCAGACGCCAACTGCCGGTGGGGGAAAGGGGCACGCCTGCTGTCTCTGCGTTGCAACACATAGCGAGCCCTGGTCCCCTCCAATGTCACAACACAGGCCCAGAAAGCTGCGTGTACAGTAAGATGCCACGGCCAACAGATAAAATGGGGGCACCTTGCTGAATTGCACATCCGCCACGCGCTGCTGGTCAATAGGGAAGGTGCAACCACCCAGGGCGCGTGGCTGCTCTGCGGCATGTGGCCCGCTCTTGATTAGTATTTTGGGTGCTTTTAGCCCACTCAGGCACACCCGAACGCCGCTCGCCGTCAACGTTGCGTTCGCAGCCCCGCGGGCGATTGCACGCCCCGTGCGCACGGCCGGCGAGCGGC